GAGCGGACTGTCCCAATCGAACCTGTGAGCTGGAAAACGGAGGGGAGCTGTGTGGCTGCATGGAGCCCCCTCCCTACGGAAACAGTGAGTGACACCTGCCGCCACCCCACCCCCAGCCAGACAGGCCCCGCGGGAGACGCCCGGCAGCCATGTAGGAAGGCTTTCGGGTGGGAGCCCGCACGTCCCACACTGTGGGTTAGAAACCCAAGTAACGAAGCTTTAATGAGCATTTAAGCAGAACAAGGAAGGAACCCGACCTCTTCAAAGCAGGCTAATGTTCGTTTCCTTGTAGCTACATCCTTTTCTTCAATAAATGATAACACACAAATTTGGACATGCATAGCATCAGCCAGCTCCATCTGAGGCCATGTTCAACATCAGAGGGATCCAAACTGATCTCTTAGACTCACAGGGAGATAAGGTGGTTTGACGAAAACATGAAAGAATCAGGACGAGAGTGCCAGGTGCTGTAAGACGTGTTTAAAGCCAGCTTTATCTGGCCCGAAGCTTTTCGGTGGGTCCTGAAGAAAGCAGAAATGTTGACGCAAACGGCAAACAACTAGGACTCCAGGTAGGAGTCCCCTTAAGGTAGGAATGGCCTTTTGCCCTGGCCAAGAGCATACTCGTTTTGTCGGCTCGTGGGGGACGTGCTTTGCTTCCCAGCTCCGTGTCCTTGGCTGAACCGAGGAACTCAGAAGGCACATGCCACGTTTAGCATCGTCAGAGAATGAAAGCCTGGTTGACCAGAAGGCTCCGCAGAAGGGGACCACATGTGCTGTTCAAAGGCTTCACCTGAGCAGATAAAAACGTTTCTCTCCGTTTCTTTAGTGCTTATTAGCCTGTGTTTGTGTACTCACGGAAAATGTCCATTTCAAAAAACAAGAGCTCCGAGTGCCGGCCTGGGTACCAGCTGGGCTGTGGAGAGGCCTGACCGGGGCTGCCCTCACTGGGGGCACGTTCTTTAGCCAGGCCACAGTGAGCCAGGTGCGGTATGGAGCTTACGGACAGCAGCTACCACCAAAGCGGGGCGGAAATCCTGGGTTTAGGAAGAAAAGATCAAAGACGCTTTGTATAGCATTTTCACCTTTAAAAAAAGGCTCTCTGGGGACTTCCCTGGTGGTCCAGTGGTTAAGACTCCTCGCTTCCAATGCAGGGGGCGTGGGCTCGACCCCTGGTCGGGGAACTAAGATCCCACATGCCACACGGCATGGACCAAAAAAAAAAAAAAAGGCCCTAGGATTGCCCAAGTTATTGCTTTGAATGAGTTCATATACTCATTTAGTTTGATCAGAGCTTCATTAGAAATGCTGCAGCCTCTGTGTGAAGCCCATCAGCCTCTTCTAAAGAGAATGGGGTGCTTCGCCCACCCACACAGCAAGACCAACTCTCACTGACGTGCCTTTCATAATGACTGTTTCCCCACAGACTCCCATGACATCATTGATGCAGAGGTGACCTGCAAGGCTGCCCAGATGGAAGTGTCCATATCTAAGTGCAAACTCTTCCAGCTCGGCTTCGAGAGGGAGGGTGTGCGGATCAATGACAGGCAGTGCACCGGCATTGAGGGAGAGGACTTTATCTCCTTTCAGATCAACAACACCAAAGGGAACTGTGGAAACATTGTGCAGGTGAGGAACGAGGGCAGGAAAGAGCACCTGGCTGAGGTGGTGACAGCTCCAGGTGTTTGCACATTGATTGTTCTTAAGCCAACTTCAGGGGTTCGACTTAGAAACATGCTCCTTGGAAAACAGCAAAAGGCACGTGCAAAATGAAGGACAGCGGGAAAATAATCATTGGGTGCTAAGTGGTTGAACTGAAAGCAAGATAAGTGACATGCTTCCTTCCCTGGTTTGCGCTGTCTGCTGTCCTTTGCCCTGCATGTTGACACATTTTTTACTTCTCTCATGCTTCTGTTGTTCTTCCAGGTAAAGACAGCTGGGTTCAGCTATTTCAGGGTGTAAGGGTGTCCCTGACATCACTTAACAGTTGGCTGCAGAAATACAGCAAGGTCACAACATTTTGTGTCGGGTTATCCAATTCATAGGTTAGCAAAGCATCTCACTTCTCTTCCTCCTGTGCCTTCCTACTGTCTTTTTTTGATAACTGTGTTCATTAACACTTTTTATCAGGGAGTGAAAGGTGCAAGACGGTGAAACATGCGTGTGTTCATTTTGGTACTTGTGGGCTGTCTGGTACAAGACTTGGCGGAGGCTGGATTTTGAATTAAGACTTAAAAGAGAAGATATGTATTACCTCAGGATGGCAATACTTCATGCTGTCCCCGGCTTGGGTTCCCGCAGATAACTGGGGACTGGTTGTACTTAGAATTCAGTGGTACATGAAATCACCCTCCGTGGGCATTCAAGGTTATCAGACTGAAGGGTGCTGTTGACATCTATTGTTAATACTTTTTTCCTAGTAAGTGCTGAGACTAGCTCCATCCTGATTTATATTGGCCTCTGGGTTATATATGAAATGAAGCCATTTTTCCACTTTCAGGCCCGTGGATTTGAAATGCAAGCCACATGCTCGTGCCCAGATTTAATGATTTCTGACCTCCCTTTGCTTTGCAGTCCAATGCCACTCATATCATGTATAAAAACACCATTTGGATAGAAAGTGCCAACAACACTGGCAACATCATCACCAGGGACAGGACGATCAGTGTGGAATTTTCATGTGCTTATGAGCTGGATATCAAGATCTCCTTGGACTCTGTCGTGAAGCCTATGCTAAGGTAGAGAATCTCATGGGCTGTGCAGGTTGCTCTGTCTTTTCCTTGACAGTTAAGGTTAGCACAGTCAAAACTGCTAGCATCTGTCTTTGAAGCACTAGGGAGAGAATAATTCATATTTTCTGAACCTAGATGCCTTAGACCTGCATTGTTCGATAGAACTTTCTACAGTGATGGGAATGTCCTATATCAGTACTGTCCAATACAGTGTCTGTATGTGGCCATTGAGCTCTTGAAATGTGCCAGGGCGAGAGAGGTGCTGAGGAACTGAATTTTTAATTTTAATTAAAATTAGATTTAATTATTTAAATTTAATTATTAGACTTTACTACTCTCTGCTTGGCCTTCCCTCTGCATTTGCAGCCTGGAAAATGGTAAGTAATTGAATAGATAACGTTGCTTGGGGTTCCCCGACTTACGACTGTTTCTCTTGTAGCGTCATTAACCTGACAGTTCCAACCCAAGAAGGCAGCTTCACCACCAAGATGGCGCTCTACAAAAATGCCTCCTACAAACATCCATACCGCCAGGGCGAAGTGGTGCTGACAACTCGAGATGTGCTGTATGTAGGGGTCTTTGTGGTTGGAGCCGATTCCACGCATCTGATTCTGACGCTGAACAAATGCTACGCCACCCCCTCCCGCGACAGCAATGACAAGCTCCGATACTTCATCATTGAAGAAGGGTGGGTAGCCTCTTCTCGGAGGACAGTCTCAGAGCCTTTAGTATTAGATTTGTCTACATTGTTTTTTAGGGAAGAGAACGGGAACTAACATTTGTTGACGACCTACAGGGCCAGCATTTTGCACCCAAGAACTATCTAATCCGGATGACAACGTATGAGGTAGATATTATAAGCCCCATTTTACGGATGAGAAGGCTGAGGCTTAGTGAATCAAGCAGTGCTTAAAATCCACAGCAATTTAGTGGTAGGTCACCAGTTCCATGTGGTATTAACTACAAAATGCTTTACTCTCAATGTGACCCAAGAGGGCATTCTGTCCTGCCTACTTGATTTTCAATCTGAGTTGAATGTGGATTATCTGCAAATGAAAGGATGTAAGGAGAATAACTAAAGGTTGGTGAATAGGACATCTATGAAAATTAAAAAGGGATTAGAATAATAGCTTATAAACTTTTTTTTTTTTTTTTTACTTACCAGTATATGCCCAGCACCTAGTATATTTCCTGAAACAGCGTGGTTATGCAACAAAATTGTTGAATGAATGAATAAATGAATGGGTGAATGAAAAAGAAGAAAAGACTGTGGACCAAACAACAACCATGATAATTATCTTTATTTTATAAACATACTTACTGGTTTTGTCAAGCAACAATACTTTTTTATTGCATACATAATTTATATACAATATAATGTACTTGCTCTAAGTGTAACATTCAATGATTTTTAGTAAATTTACAGAGAAGTGCAACCATCACCATAATCTAATTTTGGAACATTTCCACCATCCCAGTACCATAATTCTTAAAAGCAGTTGACTATGTTAATCAAAATTCTTTCTCTTGTAAGTGGTAGAGACCATTTCAAACTAGTTTATGCAAAAGCAAGGCACTTCATGGTTACAAAACCAAATCACGTTAAGCAGATGCGGCTTCAGGGACTGGGTCCAGGAAGCCAGATGCTGTCGACTCTCTCCCTCCCTCTATCCCTTGCTCTCTGTTTCTCTGTCTCAGTCACTGTCCCTCTCTGTCTCTGTCTCTCTCATTGACCTCGTTAGACACTGGCATTTTTTTCAGCATTGTAACCCCCCAGAGTGAGCATTCCTTCTAACCCCAATTCAGGGAATCCCTGAGAAGGAGTATGATTAGCCTTTCTTGGATGGATTTCCTCTGCCTTGTTTGGAGGAGATGCAACATTAAATTGCCTGGTGTTGCAGAGGACAAAGTTTTTCTTGACCCTCTTAGGGTTCCTGGCTGGGTCTGAACATTAAATGGACAAAGACAGATTAACAGGAAAAAAGCATAACATTTATCTAATGTTAAGTTCTACGTGACATGGGAGTCTTCATAAGGAAACGAAGACTCGAGGAAACAGTTCATGCTGAGTATTGTTATGCCCGGTTTGATGAAGAGTGGACAGTCGTGGAGAAGGTCAAGAGTATGTGGTAATTGTAGTAAACTGCAGGGAATCTTAGCCAGACTGTTCAGTTTCATCTCAGTGTCCCTTTGTCTTCAGAAATAAGGATGCTCCTTTCCTTCTGGTATAGGGAGGGCACCTCTCACATAAGGGCTTTATGACCTGTTTCAGGTGAGAAGAGTGACATTCCTCTTTCTGCCATTTTCTCAAACTCCTTCAGCTTAAAATATTCAAGGTGCCAGGTTTGGGGGTAGTGTTTCTTGAACCCTATCCCAGGCCTGAGTCAGCATCCCTCCCTGGACTGGTCAGGGAGTGCTGTGGATACTGTAATTAGCCTTAAAGTTGGGGAAGGAAGGGATGGTTCTCCCAAAGAAGAAGAGTATGGTTCTAGGCAGACAAACAATAAACAGCCACTATTTTGCACATGAACAGGCTCAGAGCCTGTACACAGCTCACCCAAGGACACCCAACCAGCAAGGGGCAGAGGAAGAAATCTTTCAAGCACCAAGACGCATCAACTCCCTACCCGGCCAGGTGTGGCTTGTGGCCTGCGTTGCTGAGGCATAGAGTGGGATTTTCAGCAAGGGCCTCATGAAGGCACTATCTTTTTGAGTTGATTTTTAGCCTCCCTAGAGGCAGAGGGAAGGACTTGGTGACTATGTGGTATCTTAACAGGCCCAGATGCTCTGGCTACCATCACAGGTCTCCGTTTCTTCATCTGTTCCCTTCCTCTCCCTCCCCCTCCCCCCCGCCCCAGCCATGGCCCTTTCACAAAGTAAAAGAGCTACGATCTGAGCCGCTGTACAACCCGGGTGGGCAGGCTTGGGCCGCCTTTGAAGGACACTGTGGCATTTAGCATTTTTTAAACGGTATTTAATAGAGTTGACCCAGAGAGGGAGAGTAAGTGAGCGGGTTCATAAATCTCAGCTCCCCCCAGGGTCTGCATGAAGGTCTTCAAATTAAACTGTTGTTGGGTGTGAAGTAATTTCATCGTGTGAGAGAATTTAATTCATGAGTCCTCTTGACCTTTCTTGGAGGGATGTGGTTATTGGTTTTTCCCAGTGAGCTTATGGGAAAACTGCTGCCCAGTGCGGAACGGCTGAGCTGCAGAGTGGGTCCGCATCAGAGTTTGGGGGGAGGGGCCAGCCGCTCCTCTCCAGCTACGTTGGGGGCAGAGACGCCACCGCCATCTACCAGTGATGCCAAGGTCTGGGCACACGAAGGTCACTTCTCTGTTCTCTTCATGTGCCCAGAGGAAAGGACACTTGTTCCTCTGATAGTGGACAAAGGATTCTAGTGCTCGGTCTGTTTGTCCCCCTAAGGCGGCATCCAGACAGCCTGTCCCTGCTTCCCGAGGCTCCTTCCTTCTGCTTCCTGTTCTTCTGACACTTAAACCTCGAATCATCTGTCTGGGAGTTGGGGGTCTAGTTAAGACGGAAGGTCTGCGTGAAGACTGGAGGGCTGAGAATGCTGTAGAATCCTTGAACCAATTTAGATTATTCAAATGAGTCACAGTGACAAGGAAAAGTATGGCAAGTAAGTTTTTGTTTCAAAGCATTTAGGAAACTATTGCCTTATGGACTAACTACCAAACTGAATAGGCGTGGGAATGCTGAAGCATAACTTCCATTTTTAATTTTCCTTATCACGAAGATACTGAATCCTGGGGGCCAGGGGAAGGAAACATACGGAAAAGAGTCACCCTTTTTATCTCAAGAAGATCGTTTTAAAGAGCTTCTTGGCTGCAGTGGGCCAAACTTGGCCATGGAAGCACAATTCATTCATTCAGTCACTGATTCATCCAGTCTGAAAAAAAATTTTTTTTGGTCTAAAAATTAAGTATAATTTTAATACCATATTCAAACAAAACGGTTCTGAGAGTTAATACTGTACGTAATGTTTCAAAAGTAAAAATACAGCTTTATATATACACATACACGTTCTCTCAGAGCTGAAAGACGGGTCATAGCTTTTATTGCTTCTCAGGCAAATATTTGTGTGAGTTTGACTAAAGAGCATCTAAGTATTCTTTTTATTTTTCATTTTTATTGTTTTACAGTACGTCCTTGTTGGTTATCTATTTTAAATATAGCAGTATGTACATGTCAACTCCAAACTCCCAATCTATTCCTCGCCCCCAGCCTTCCCCCCGGTAACCATAAGTTCTTTCTCTAAGTCTGTGAGTCGATTTCTGTTTTATAAATAAGTTCATTTGTATCACTTGTTTTAGATTCCGCATATAAGCAGAATATCATATATTTATCTTTCTCTGTCTGACTTACTTCACTTAGTATGATAATCTCCAGGCCCATCCATGTTGCTGCAAGTGGCATTATTTCGTTCTTTTCAATGGCTGAGTAATATTCCATTGTATATATGTACCACATCTTTTTAAATACTTACTGTGTGCCCTCCAGTGTGCTGGAGACACAGTGAGGACTACACCTTGGCTCCTGCACCCCAGGGGCTCAGCAGGGTGTTGTTGGCAAATCCAGGCAAAGCCACCTGTTCCTGCCTGCTCAGGGCATGTGTATATAGGAGGGGGAGCCACAGATGGGCACTGGAGAAAGAGCAGGGTTAGTTAGCAGGGGAAGGAGTGCAGGGAGGCTTCCAGGTGGGGGAAACAGTACATGAAAGACCCTGGGGCATAAGAGACTGTGGTCCATTTAAGAAACTCTAACAGGTGGAGGCGAGATACCTGTGTCCCTGCCTGTTGGCTCAGGACCACAAGGAGAGGGGAAGGGAGTGATCCCTCCATCAGAACAATCGTTCAGCTCATCTTTGACTACTGGTCTGTCTTCTCCAGCTCCCACAAGTGAAAACAGACTTCCCAATAGAGCTGGAAAAAGGGGCCCCTGCCCAAACTGATAATTAACCGAAGAAAGTACAGAACATGTAAGGACTCATCTTGTGTTTATTAAACTGATATCAGTAAAACACAGCATTGTGAGGGGGAGGAATGAGAAACGGGCGGGTAGGGAAATTGAGTGCAGGCCCGTGGTCATTTTGTTTTTAGCTGTAGTTAAGATCCTAATTTGAGGTGCTATTTGATGCTTTTCCAACAAACTGAAACTATAAGGGAGTCATAGTAAATGACAGACCCACACACTCCAGAGGTCACCTTCAAACGCAAAGGCATTTTTACCGTTCATGATGGTTTTTGTATGAAACGTGAAAGTGTGAAGCAGAGAGTCCCTTTTTTCCGAATAGGTGTCAGAACATTAAAGACAACACCATTGGCATCGAGGAAAACGGTGTCTCCCTCACCTGTCGCTTCCACGTCACCGTCTTTAAGTTCATTGGGGATTACGATGAAGTCCATCTTCACTGCGCAGTGTCCCTCTGTGATTCAGAAAAGTACTCCTGTAAAATAGTAAGTGAGAGCGTGAAAATTCAGTGCTTAGCTTTATTTCTCTCAGTCCCAGTTTTCCCCACGTGGGGCGTCACAAATCCCGACGGCGGTGGCTCTTCAGAGTTCTTTAGGACTCACTGCACCTGGCAGTGGCTGAATTGGAACCATCTTCAGATGCCTAGGAGTGGCAGTCATCTGGAACAATAAGAGAGCAGGGTAGAATGATGACCATTTACTCCTTTTATCTGACTTAGCAAGGTCAGTCTGTTGTCGGCATGACACTAGACCAGGGTTTCTCAAACCTCAGCACTACAGACGTTTTGGACCGAATGATTCTTTGCTGTAGGGCTGCCCTGTGCTCTGGAGGCTGTTTAGCAGCATCCCTGGCCTCTACCCAGTAGACCCCAGTATCACCTCCTCCCCACTTGCAACACCCAAAATGCCTCCCGACTTTGCCCAGTGTCCCTCGGGGGGCAAAATGAGCCCTGTCTGAGAACCAATATGCCAGAGTCTCAAAGAGCCAGGCCCCCTGCATCTGAGGTGAGTGATGGGGCCAAGCTCCCCTCCACCACAGAAGCAAACTCCCGGGCTCAGGGATTATCCCACAGATCGTCCAAATCCACACCCAGGCCTGAGGCTCTGGAGGGGCTGGCAGGATGAGGTGACAAACCAATCACCTGGTCCACGCCAGGCTTACATCCCCACCACGTCAGGCTACGTCCCTAAGATTTTACTGCACTAGTACCTGGTCCCTAACCTTTAACATTGCAGCTTTATGCTCGCCCCATGTTGGCCGAATCGAGATGTGAATTATGGTCAGAGCTACTTACAGATGCTGCTGCGTACATTATTGTCTGATCTGATACATGATCCTCCTCCCTGGGAAGGGAGCCTCTTTGAATCTAATTCTAGTGTGGAGAATATATTTAATTCTGTTCAACATAAAGCCCCGAGTCCCAGTGGGCTCAATGATCAAGAATGGATTGATTCTAATTAATCTGAGCTGCAGTAGTGCTCCAGGCGGAGCCACTGCCTCTTTTGGAGGTGGAAACGTGGTGAAGAATAAGTTATCAGCTTAATTGTGTGAAATTTTCCCTCCGGTGTTTTGTCTTTCAGACTTGCCCTCAAAATTCCAGGATTGCCACAGATTACACCAAGGAACCTAAAGAACAGATCATTTCAGTGGGACCTATTAGGAGAAAAAGTATGTATGTTCCCTAAAACACACTATAAATGATTAAAACAGTGGGATTTGAAGGCTCGGGCTAAGTCTGGGGTGTGTTTTGCCTACTATGTGAATTTAGTGAACAAGGAGCTTGAGGATGCCAGTTTGGGGACCCCAGTTTGAGAAGCCTGCCCGCTTCCATAATGAAATCTTTTCATGGACTATTAAAAATTCATGACAGTACCGGGATTTTTTCCTTCCACTCCTCTCTTTAAGGCCTTGCCCTTAGATACGAGTTGAAGAGCTGGACTGTCTGCAGGTAACTTGTCCAGCGGCTCTTTTTCAGGGCTGGACTGGTGTGAGGACAACGGAGGGTGTGAGCAGATCTGCACGAGCCGGGTGGACGGGCCTCTGTGCAGCTGCGTGACGGGGACCCTGCAGGAGGACGGCAAGAGCTGCAGAGGTGAGCACGACTCCCGTTCAGGGCCGGCAGCTGGGGACATAGGAAGTTCTTGACCCTGAGAAGGAAACAGTCCTATGTGAGGCCCACTCGGTCAGCAACTGATCTATGAGACTTACAGAAAGTAAGAAGGAGAGATGAGGAAAACGCCCAAGGAATTCTAGCATCATTTTGGTTTTTTTTTTTAAACCTTTTGGTCCCTGCTCTTTTATCTAAAAGATAAAAGTGATTTTTTTCAATATGTTTATTGGAGTATAATTGCTTTACAATGTTGTGTTAGTTTCTGCTGTATAACAAAGTGAATCAGCTATATGCATATGTATATCCCCATATGCCCTTCCTCTTGCATCTCCCTCCCACCCTCCCACAGCTCTAGGTGGTCGCAAAGCACCGAGCTGATCTCCCTGTGCTATGCGGCTGCTTCCCACTAGCTATCTATGTTATATTTGGTAGCGTGTACGTGTCAGTGTTACTCTCTCACTTTGTCCCAGCTTACCCTTCCCCCTCCCCGTGTCCTCAAGTCCATTCTCTACATCTGTGTCTTTATTCCTCTCCTGCCCCTAGGTTCTTCAAAACCATTTTTTAAAATTTAGATTCCATATATATGTGTTAGCATATGGTATTTGTTTTTCTCTTTCTGACTTACTTCACTCTGTATGACAGTCTCTAGGTCCATCCACCTCACTACAAATGACTCAGTTTCGTTTCTTTTTATGGCTCAGTAATATTCCATTGTACATATGTGCCACATCTTCTTTATTCATTCATCTGTTGATGGACACTTAGGTTGCTTCCATGTCCTGGCTATTGTAAATAGAGCTGCAATGAACATTGTGGTACATGACTCTTTTTGAATTACGGTTTTCTCAGGATATATGCCCAGTAGCGGGATTGCTGGGTCGTATGGTAGTTCTATTTTTAGTTTTTTAAGGAACCTCCACACTGTTCTCAATAGTGGCTGTATCAATTTACATTCCCACTAACAGTGCAAGAGGGTTCCCTTTTCTCCACACCCTCTCCAGCATTTACTGTTTGTAGATTTTTTGATGATGGCCATTCTGACTGGTGTGTAGTCATTGTAGTTTTGATTTGCATTTCTCTAATGATTAGTGCATCCTTTCATGTGTTTGTTGGCAGTCTGTATATCTTCTTTGGAGAAATGTCTATTTAGGTCTTCTGCCCATTTTTGGATTGGATTGTTTGTTTTTTTGATATTGTGCTGCATGAGCATGAGCTGCTTGTATAGATGAAGGTGATATTTAAAGAAGGAAGTTATCCAGCCATTTAAGTACCAAATATTGGCCTTAGATCTGGCCCCATGTCTACCTGGGTTGAGCTGGGACTGGGGTGTGTGATCCAACAAACAAGGTTTCCTGCAATAGCCTTGGCTGCCAGGTGTCCCTGGTACCCTCTAAGTTAGCAGGACTCTCCTAAAGGTTGGGTTAATTTCGCTTCCATGCTGCCTGAGTCCAGGCCATTTGGAGAAAGTGGGTTCTTGGCAATGAAGAAAGTAGGTTCCTTTACTGGAATGCCACAAAGATGTCTGATCCATGTCAAACAGGTATATTTTTTTTCATAGGACTTACTATGTCTCTCTCTGTTCACAGCCTCTAATTCTTCCATTGAACTTCAAGTTTGGACGCTGCTTCTCATCATGACCCAGATTTCATTATGGCATTTTGTCTATACATCAGGCATGACCTCATAATTAACTCAAGGTTGCTATATAAAGTACTGTAATTTACTTACTTCAACTCCCTGTAGGATAAAAGGTGTGTGCCCTTAAGTCAAAACCTATTTGAGATTGCCCACTGTCTCAAAGTGATGCCACCTGCCCCAAACGGTCAGGGTTCCAGAAAAGAGGGAAATGCCATGCTCCTCTTTCAAGGTATGCAACTGGGCTTCTAAAAGCCAGTTGTGGAAAACATATATCTTGCCTAAAATTTCCAATTAGTTGTCACTAGAAACGTTGGTTCGCATGAAAAACCGGTAAAGGAAAAAATTCTGGTTAGACAAGTCTGTCGGAAATCTGACCAGAGAAATCTATCCCACCAGTGCTGTTTTTGTATCATAGTTTTTATAGAGAAAGGGCCTGTTGGAACGATATCGAATATTGAGAAGCGGTGATTGGAAGGTCTGACTCCCCCTAAGGAATCTCTCCAATGTTTGGAAGCATCTGACCTCGATGCGCCTGTGTTGCTCCCCTCCCCACACCCGCCGCTGTGTCCTCCAGCCCTGCCGGGCCACGTGGCCACCGCATGTATTGTTTGCAGACCTGGGGAACCCCAACACCCCATCCGTCTCTTCAGACCCAAACTCTTCTCTCTCACAAATCAACCAAATCATTTTTAACGTGTTTTATGCTTAAATAAACTTTGTGTTCAATTATTCTCATTACTCCGTGGCTGGAATCATACTTATCGATGTTAAGCTTTGCACACTAAATAGCATCCTCTGATTTAAAAAAAACAAAAAATCCCAAAAAGCCAGCAGCAGCAATTGGAGCAGGTAGGCCCTGCTGGGCAGCACTTTAATGCGTTTTGTTATGTGGCTGTTTGTCCTGACAGAGCGTTAGCAGGGTGTTCAGTGAGGTGCCACGTGGAAGAGAAGCAGGCAGCGTCCTCTTTCGTATGTGGCACAAAAACCCACATTTACTATAATTAACTACATAATAGAGGGCCTGGGAAATATATCCCTGGGGTGCCTCTCTTTTTAAGGTTAAAAACAAAGTAAATGCCACTTCAAGTGTATTTTGAAGTTGTTTTGGATTTAAGCTGATGGCATTTTTTTCTTTCTCTGGGAACTCTGGGCAGAAACGCTGAGCAGAAATCCTAGAGTCCTTGACCGTGGGTTGTGGGTACGATTCCTGTTGTCTTACGTATAAAAGTCCCGGCATCATACTGTCACTGGGCTGAAGAAGCGGGGTATAGACTGAGTCTGCACTGAGCAGCTTTGCTCTCCCAGCCCCGGGGAGAGTCCACAAGCTCTAGCTTGACAGTCATAGATGCTATGCGGCCAAGAGGACAACCAGTACTGATGGAGAAAAATATGCATCTGCTTCAACTTAAACATCTTAGGATCTTCTGGGAAAATGCTGAACATTGAGATGGATTAAGGAATCAAACCATCTGTTCTAGGAGAGACACAGTATCTCTTCCTCACCATGATGGAAATTGATGTCATGCACATGTTTTTTTTCACGTGAAAATCCTCAACTCCAGACTTTCCCCCACTTCAAGATCAGCAGATTCAGAGCTCCATTCTCATTTCCATAGGCTAAGGTTTAGGTTTTCACAATCAGATTCTGAGTTGAACATAGTAACATCTCATTTATTTTTTTTACTTGATTTCCTTAGATGAATTTTAACTGAAGACATACAAGGAGG